AACTGCAAATGAAGACCACTCATGAGCTACATTACAGACATACAAAACAATATAATTCCTTCAACAAAATTGTACTGATTGTTCACTTTTTCTAATACAACATTTTAACTGTAGAAAAAAATTAACCTGCAGGAAAATTTTATATAGATCTGGGAAAATTTAGCCTGAAAAGGAAAGTCTTCTCAGTTCAATAATTTCATGATTATACCTTTTTCAATAGGAATAATCGACTATATTTTATTACTATTTTATAGCTCATAAAACTTGGCCTGTTAAGTTTGCAAAGTCTGCATTCACGATGATTCCCACTAATCTTTCCAGTCTCCTCAAGTTGAGAGAAGACAAGTACCTGCTTGCTGCATAGATTCCTCTCCATGACAACAAGGCAAAACAAAACATTTATTATAGACAAGTGGATACTAAATTGCTCATGGCCTTGCCTTATTTCAGAAGCTGGAAAAGCTACAACTCATTTTCTTGATAAGGCAGCAAAACGGCAATGGAAGTAACATCTAAGGAATGAACATAGGTTGACTGATAAAGAGAAGAGAGGTAGCAATTACTAAAAGCAAGTCTTTCTTGTGAAATGAATTTGGTCAGATAAAACTACTCATAAAACCACAGAGAAGAAAGAAGGCAAGTCCAGGCAAGTGTTCCTGTAGTAAAGCCATTTATAAAATTGTCACATAAACCTCTTCTCTTGAAAAGGTGAAAATTGACTAATGAAGAAAATATGCTAAAAAAAATAATGGTGAGTTTTAGCAATTTTCCTCAAAATTATAGAAAGTGACAGAACTAGAACTTGAGTTAAATTTCTTGATTCTGAGTTAGTTACAAACATACTATAGTGCATTATGACCTAGACCAGTGGTCGGCAAACTGCGGCTCGAAAGCCACATGCGGCTCTTTGGCCCCTTGAGTGTGGCCACGAAGTTTCAATTGCACTGTACGTGCGCGCCCGCACGTGGTATTTTGTGGAAGAGCCACACTCAAGGGGCCGCAGTTTGCTGACCACTGACCTAGACCATAGATAACTCATTTTAGCTCAAAATTATTTTTAGAATGAGTAAAATAATAAAATTTAAGCCAGATTTTGCATTTAGTCAGGACTGCAATTGAGATCTAGGTTGCAATCTTAGCTTCCTTAAGTATTAGGGAATTATTTAGTTTCTCTGAACCTGTTTTCACTATTAAAAAATGAGAATAAAACATATTATTAAAAAGAAAACAAACGAACAACAAAAATTTACCATTAGACCAGATACCTTGAGTTGTTGGGAATATAAATATGAACAACAAGGTGAGGGAAATAAACGGTAGAAAAAAACAATACAGACAAAATAAAACTAGTAAAAGAATAAAAAAGGCCCTGGCTCATGTGTCTCAGTGGTTGAGTGTCGTCCCTTGCAGGTTTACTGAAAGGTTGCACCTTTGCTTGTCAGTCAGGGCACATACCCAGGTTTCAGGGTTGATCCCCAGTTGGGGGGTGCAGGAGGCAGCTGATTGATATTTTGCTCTCACATCAATGTTTCTCCCTCTCCCTTCCTCTCTCTCTAAAAATCAATACAAAAAATAAAAACAAATAGGACCTAATAGCTACAATGAATGAAAAAAACAAGAAAAATAAGGTGCTAATATGTGCTTAAGAAATACTATCCCATTTCATACCTATCTTCCCCTGCTTAATTATGACTTAAAAACACTGAACATGAACAGTATTTAATTTGCCCTGGCCAAATTTCTCATTTGGTTGGAGCATTGTCCTGTAGACCAAAGGGTTGCTGGTTGAATTCTGGATTGAGGGTTCAATCACTGATCTGAGCACAGATGGGAGGCAACTGATGGATGTTTCTTTCTCCCTTCCTTTCTAAAAGTCAATAAAAATAATATCCTCGGGTGAGGATAAAAAAAAAGGCTTATTACTGGGAAAAGAAGATTATTTAATTCACCTTCTTGAGTAAACAAAGTTATATAATTAGAATATGAAATATTTACTATAAATTGCAAGATTGAAGTACAAGCACTTTATGAATATTAGTTAACAGCATGCCTGAGGAGGCAGTATAGCAGATTCAATCAGGTCCTCCAGCCAGAAAGATTGTGTTCAATCACATAATTTAAGATTGATTGAGCAGAATACTTAACCTCGCCAAGTCCAGTTGGAACATGAGAACAATATAAGCACCCATTTCACTGGATTGTTATGAAGATTTAATGACAAAGTTGTAATACTCAGATCAGTACGGTATTGGTATAAAAACAAGCACATAGATCAATAAACAGAATAGAGAGCCCAGAAACAAAGAAACCAGGAGTATACAATGAGAAAAGGATAACCTCTTCAATAAATGATGCTGGGAAAACTGGAGAGCCACCAGAGGCAGAAAAATGAAAGTGGACCGCTACCTTACACTACTCACAAAAATCAACTCAAAATGAATTAAAGACTTGAACATAAGTCCTGAAATAATAAAAATCCTAGAAGACAACAGGGGTAACCCCTTGACATTGCTCTCTTGGCAATGGATTTTTGGATTTAAAACCAAAAGCAAAGACAACCAAAGTAAAAATAAACAAGTGGGACTAGATCAAACTAAAAAGCTTCTGAACAGCAAAGGTAATCATCAACAAAATGAAAACAAAACCTATGGAACAGGAGAAAATATTTGCAAATATATATCTGTATAAAGCATTCATATAACTCAATAGCAAACAACCAAACCCCTCCCCCCACCCCCCAAATAATCAGATTAAAAATGGGCCCAGGAACTTTTCCCAAAGACACAAATGGCCAACAGGTAAATGAAAAGCTGCTCATCACCAATCATCAGAGAAATGCAAATGAAAACCACAATGAGATATCACCTTACACCTGTTAGAATGGCTGTCATCAAAAAACAAGAGATAAGTATTGTCAAGGATGTGGAGACAAGAACCCTGTGCACTGCTGGTGGGAATATAAACTGATGCAGCCACTGTGGAAAATAGTATGGAGGTTCCTCAAAATTTAAACATAAAACTACCATATTATCCCTAATTCTACCCTGGATATCAGAAGGAAACAAAATCATTCTCGAAGAAATATCTGCAACCCCATATTTATTGCAGACTGTTTACAACAGCCAAGTCATGGAAACAAACTAAGTGTCCATGGAGAGATGAATGGATACAAAAAATGTGGTGTATATACACGATGAAATATTAATCAGCCATAAAAACGAAGAAAATCCTGTCATTTGCATGAATGAACCTTGAGGGTATTAAGTGAAATAAAGTCAGATAGAGAAAGAAAAATATCATACACTCTCACTTACATTTGGAATCTTAAAAAAAAAAAATGAACACATAGAAAAGATTGATCAAAAGTTACAAATTTCCAGTTATAAGTTCTGCAGATATAATGTAGAACATAGCTTTTAGGTGTTTTTTTTAAAAAAAATAATGAATAGTATTTGACATATTTCAGTAAAGGATTAGGAAAAATGACAAATCTGATGTCTTTAAACAGCTCTCTCAAAAGTTATTTGTTTTTATTTTTTACTAAGCTATTTCTACTGAACCATGTGTTTTGTAAAGAAACCTATCATTTATTGTAATAGAAAAATTTATTATCAATTATAGTAAGGAAAAAAAAGTGCTTTTTAAAAAAAAGATAGATGAAAGACACTAGTCCAAATAGTTGAAAATGCCTTTTAGAGTTCAAATCTATTTTTTTCAACTTTTAAAAAATTTTTATCTTTATTGTTTAAAGTATTACAGTTGTAAAAAAGAGGTCAGCATTTTTATTTTTCCAAAACATACTGCTATATAATATTAGAGCCCTGACAACAGAGACGGAAGGAAATAAAGTTAAGAAATATTTAGATGTTAAAATCTACTACAGTTGGTAATGACTTGAACATGACAGTTAAGAGTTGAAATATAAGGGAAAGGAAGGCATCATGGATGGCATTCAGGTGTCTGAGGAGTTTTTGTAATAATCCAGAGGAAATTTCAAATGAGTAGGTACTGGGAACCCTATAAAAGCTGTAGCTTCTTGAGAACGTATCATACTCCAGAATGGCCGAGAGAAGAGGGAAGAGCAAGACTTGCACCAATAAGAGTTGTAAACACCAGAGGTGCTTTCTGAGAAGGGCACCTGCGTACCCAGGTGAATGACGGGAACCGTGAGAGCCGGGCCCCTTCCCCCTGCACCCCCCGCAGTGGCCGCACCAGTTCCAGCCTCCCCTCCGCAGCCTGCGCTCCCTGCTAAGTCCTCCGGCGCAAAGGTCCCGGCGCCGCAGGTAAGGCGGCGGGTCCGCGGGGGCGGGGTCCTCTCGCCAATTCTTCACTCGCGCCCAGAGGATCTCGACCGCGCGCCCCTCGCTCCACTGCACAGATTCTGAAACCAAAAAAAGGCTCAAACTTTTTCCTCCCTAGTCTTCCTACAGAGAGCAGCACCCGGGCCGCAGCTAGCAAACGCCTAAGGAGAAGGTGGGGTCTCCCCACCTCTTCAGACTCGCACCGGGCCCTTCCTCCCCAATGGAAAGAGCTCCCCTAAGCCGGGACAGCTCCCCTAAACTCCTCCCCGGCCGCTGACCGCCCGCCCGCCCATACCTGCGAGCGGTTCCACCAGGGGGTGGCTTAGGGAAACCTCAGGAAGAGCGGGCCAGCGAGCAACGCCACCGCCACCGAAGGGACAGTCATGGTCTACCTCGTCCAGGTCAGTAGCGCAGACGCGCCCCAGCCGCGGCTGCGCCTCCCGCCTCCGGGTGGATCCCCACCGCCCCAGTTCGCTCGCAGCCTCGCACTGCACGCCGGGAAAGGCCTCCCTCCACTGTCCCGATACTTCAGTTCCCAGGATGCACAAGCCTCCAAGAAGAACTGCACCCTGGGATTTGGAGTCCTAATCCTACGCCTTCTCCTCGTCCTTAACGCAGAGTCCTGGGAACCTGCTGGGGGATCTAAACGTAAAGCATCACCCACGGTCGTGAAATGTAGGCTCTTTTTGCATCCGGGACCTTGTCCCAGCCTTGGCTGGGTGGAGAATGGTGTCGCCTAGCAGCCGCCGCCGCTAATGCTTGCTGGGAACCAGTTGGCGGGATCCAGTGTCCGCTTGGAACCGCGCTGGGGAGCGGTCGGGCATAGCTGCGGGCCCGGCTTGGTGGATGCGGTAGATAAGAAACCTCCGCTGGTTGCCAGGCGTGCTGGGTGGATCCTGGTGAGCAGGAGCAGCGAACCTCTTCCCACGCAGGTTCTTTAAGCCTCAGGGCCCGTGTGCAATAGCCCAGCTTCCCCGCCCCGTAGTCTTTGCTTCGAAATCCGTCTGCCTTCTTGCTTCAGCCCTGTTTACTCCGACCCAGATGCACTCCTTTCAGTCGTTTATTTCTGCACTCCACCTCACGTCTTTCCCCCCGACCCCGCGCCCCCTCCAGTTCCAGCTCCTCCGAATCAGGGGTCAGCCTTCCAAGCACCCCCGCGCTTGGCACCATTAGATGTTCGCGCGCCTTGGTGGTAAAGAGCGTGGAGAAGGTTACTCAAAACCTTAGTTCTGACCTAAATTAGTTTTAGCAAGAGAGTTGTCATAGTTTATTTAGCCGGTACAATAATTGATGGTTTGTACCAACTGCTGTAATTTTGATGAAGTCTGTTTTACTCACATATTTGTTACACAATTAAGGAGCCATAGCACAGCTCTTTGCTAACACCAGAGTTATAATAACGTAAACTATAAAAATTGTAAATTACTGTAAAAACAGTAATGCTGTTTACCTTGACAATGCTAATATCCACCTGTTTTGTTTCAGGCGATAAAGCATTGCTAAAGAATTCAAGATGCCACCTAATATAAACTGGAAAGAAATAATAAAAGTTGACCCAGATGACCTGCCTCGTCAAGAAAAATTGGCAGATAATTTATTGGTTTCTTTATCCAAGGTGCTTAATTGACAAATAATGCGTAGATATAAACATATAACTATGCTGAATCTAAGTTGTCCGTGAAGTCATGAGTGGTTTAACTGGAAGAATTTTTATATTTTGCTTGAGGGTTATAAAATATAAAATAGTTGCTTTTCTGTTTACTTAGGTGGAAGTAAATGAGCTAAAAAATCAAAGTCAAGAAAACGTGATACACCTTTTCAGAATTACTCAGTCACTAATGAAGGTTTGTATGTAGTAGGTTTTAAAAACAGCTTTGACTATTAGAAAAATTTAATGATCTGTTCTTAAATAAGTTAATCTTTGTGAAAGTACCTAAATCACCACTAAAAAATGAGATATCACATGTGATTGAGAATTTTAGTGTGTAAAACATTGCTAGTTTTTGCTCTAAAGTTCCTAAAAGAATATGTAGGGGAAACAGAATGGGTACGCTTAAAAATAACATAGGGAGGTCCTCTGTTAATTATATTAACATAATCCTGAGGTAGAAGTGAAAAATGCAGATGACTGCTATAGGGATTTGTTAGAAGGGGAAGAGAGTTAAGTGTGAGAAGACCTCATAAAGGTCAAAGACTGATGTTGTTTTAGGTAAGTGGAAGGCAGTGGGAAAATGTTAAGGAGCTTCTGGAGCTGGAGGCTACCATAAATAAAAACTGGGAATTGAAAATGTGTATATTCTTTACAGTTGAGGAGACACATGCAAAAAGTTTATAGCAGCTTACAGAGGAAACATATGGTGGGTATCTGTATAGTTTGACAGCCTTGTTATTTTATGTTGTCAGCAGTGAGGACTCATTAAAGGGTTTTGAGCCACAATTGATAGATACAAAAATATGCATTAGGAAGGCTAACGTGGATATGTTAATAGGACAAATTGAAGGATATAACAAAAGGAAGGAGACTAAACATAAAATTATGGACTAGAATAATGACAGAATTGAAAAAAGAAATAGAAAAGAGAAAAAAAGATATTGGAAAACATTACAAAAGGAAACATTAGCAATAATTGATGTAAGACTTGAGAGAAAAAGAGGAAACAAAGATGTTTTAAACTGTTAAGAATCTAAAAATTATAGCCTTAAGAAGGAAATCATGTAGTATTCATGTAACAAATATTTATTGAATGTCTCTGTGTGACAAGCACTGCAGACACTAAGTATTGGGAGAGCAAATAAAATTCTCATTTTCATTTCTTACATTCTAGTTTAAAGGCATATTAATGTTACCTTTTTTTTTTTTTTAAATACTTAGATGAAAGCTCAAGAAGCAGAGCTAGCTTTGGAAGAAATTGATAAAGCTGGAGAAGAACAAGCAAAAGTTGGTAAATACCTTGAGAAAAGTTTATGGTGTTAAGAGATTAGCCAAAGAACATGTGCAAATTCCATGGACACAGACAACAATGTGGTGAAGACCAGAGGGAGGTGGGGTTGGGTGCTGCATGGAGGTGGGCAACGGGAGGGAAAAGAAGAGACATCTCTAATAGCGTCAACAATAATTTTTAGAAAGTTTATGCTGTTAGATAGTGGAGTCCATTTATTCACTAAGCAATAGAGAATTAGCTTTAATATAGTCTATAAAATTTGTATATTCTATTTTGAAAAATCACTCCTACTTTATGGGTCTGGTATAAAATAGTTTTTTTCCTTTTACATAACAACCATATACAATCATAATGTAATCTTTAAAAAGAATTAATTTTATTGAAATTTATTTAAAAGCTTGATAAATCTGACCATTTGAAACATTTATTTATTTATTTATTTTAAACAGAAAATAAATTCCAAACTGAATTAATGAGACTGGAAAGTGAACTGGAGGTATGTCCTTTTGTATTCTCTAGGGTATAATTGTTGTTACTTTTATTATTTGGAATTGTTTTTATATTTTTATTTTTATTGGTTGCAAAAATCACAAGAATTATATTATATTCATAATTATTTGTTCAATATTTATTTTACAGGCCTATTATGTACCTTAAATTCTATTAAGAATTGAGCATTCAATTGTGAACAAAATAAAAACATTCAATAATCCTATAGAGGCTATGGTTTAGACAGGTATACAAAGGATTACTAATAACTGGTAGAGTGAGGCATGTGGAAATTTGAGGAATAGTGACAGAAGGTATAATAGAAGCATCTTTTGAGAAAGCCAAGCAAGAGTCAAAATAAGAAATTTATTATTAAGGAGCTGAATATATTGAGATTCCTGAGAATGTGGGACGGAATGTGATACAAATGGGTTAGATTTTAAAAGGAGGAAGGGAGTATGAATGGATGTGTACAGAAGCCTTTAGTTTGTAGGTTTTGTGCCTGGAAATTGAGAGCTTGCAGAGAAGGTCATCTGCTAAAATTAAGAGTAGGATATGTGCAGTCCAGTTTTAAGGAAGTCAGATAAAGCAGGAAATATAGAGATTACTAGATCTGGAGTAAGACTATGTTAGTTCAAATCCTGATTCTTTTATATGTTAACTCAGTGAATTTTGTTTTTTATTTCCTATTGTATATTCTGCTTCTAGGATAATACCAACTACTCTCAATACTTACTAAGTAAATTATAAAGTCTGATTCATTCTGTGTTAGTGTATGGCCTGAGCGTTGCTGTTAGAATAGAAGAATAGAGCTATTGGAGATGTTGGTAAGAAAGTGGTTGAAGTGATGATTATGAAATCCTAGCTGAATAGGCAAGTAAGTTAAGATTAGAGTGGTATGAGAAGTTAGGGAGAAGAGGAGTCAAGGGATTAAAGGTCCCATGAGGTCAAAGGCAGATATCTACACTAATAAAAGAGAAACATGCAAATTGGTGTCACTCCGCTATACCTGCCAGCCAATCAGGGCGAGTATGCAAATTAACCCATTAAAGATTGCGGCCGGCTACGGAGCTGGAGGCTTGGGTTGCCCCGGGTGATGGAGGAAGCCAAGCTTCCCGCCCGCCCTGGCCGCCGCTCAAGGAGTGGCTGGGGGCCTGGCTCACCAAGGGCGACCCAGGCTTCCAGCCCGCCCTGGCCGCCGCTCAAGGGAGAGAACAACACACAGGCGCGGCCAGGAGCCTGAGAGATCAACACAGAGGGGCGCCTGTTCCAAGCCCCCGCGGTGTGGCTGGGGGCAGGCCCCCAGCGGACACACACACACACACAGGGCGCCTGCTCCGAGCCTCTTCTGCCAGACTGTAGGACATCTACTGAGGGCTCCTGGACTGTGAGAGGGGGCAGGCTGGGCTGAGGAACCCCCACCCCCCAGTGCACAAATTTCGTACACCGAGCCTCCAGTACTGGAAATAAAGCAGAGAAAGTTCCTGCCTGGACAAGGTCCTGGTGTGGGTGTGGGAGTGGGAATTAATAATGAATTCTAGAAGCAAGTTAAAAAAAAAAGAAGGCCAAGAATGAAAGTTATCTAATCTAATAAAAGACAAACATGCAAATTGACCATACCTTCGCTACGCCTTAAGCCATGCCCACCAGCCAATCAGAGCGACTATATGCAAATTAACCCAACCAAGATGGCGGCTGGAAGCCACGGAGCTGGAGCAAGCAGGAGGCTTGGTTGCTCCAGTGATGGAGGAAGCCAAGCTTCCTGCCCACCCTGGCTGGCTCTGAGCTCCACTCAAGGCTACAAAGTTTCAATTATAGAAGGTAAATAAATCTCAGAATAAAAAGAAAAAATGAAGAAAATGAGAGGCTGGGAGCTTCCATCGCCTGGGGGGCTTGGCCAGCCTGAAAACGGCCCTCAGCACCTCACCCAGGCTGGCCAGTCCCCCCAGTAGGGACCCCCACCCTGAAGGGGGTGTGACCAGCTGCAAACAGCCATCAGCCCCTCACCCAGGCTGTCCAGGCACCCCAGCAGGACCCCCACCCTGATCCGGGACACCCTTCAGGGCAAGCTGGCCCCCACCCATGCACCAGGCCTCTATCCTATATAATAAAAGGGTAAAATGCAAACTGACCCTAACAGCAGAACCATTAGGAATGACTGGTCACTATGGCACACACTGACCACCAGGGGGCAGACGCTCAATGCAGGAGCTGCCCCCTGGTGGTCAGTGCGCTCCCACAGGGGGAGCTCTGCTCAGCCACAAGCCAGGCTGACGGCTGCCAGCACAGCGATGGTGGTGGGAACCTCTCCCGCCTCCTCAGCAGCGCTAAGGATGTCCGACTGTAGCTTAGGCCTGCTCCCCGCTGGCAAGTGGACATCCCCCAAGGGCTCCCGGGCTGCCAGAGGGATGTCTGATTGCCAGCTTAGGCCCAATCTCCCGGGGAGCGGGCCTAAGCCAGCAGGTGGTCATCCGCTGAGGGCTCCCAGACTGCGAGAGGGCACAGGCCATGCTGAGGGACCCCCCCTGCCAGTGCACAAATTTTTGTGCACCAGGCCTCTAGTCCTATTAATAAAAGCCCAGCAACTGAACAGCAGAATGACCAGAATGATCGATCAACCAGTTGCTATGATGCACACTGACCTCCAGAGGGCAGATGCTCAATGCAGGATGAGCAGCACTTCCACAGCGGGCAGATCCCCACAGGCCACGCCTTCCACCAGTGCATGAATCCCATACACCGGGCCTCTAGTACAGATATAAATATTGCTTAGAGCAGTGGTTCTCAACCTGTGGGTCGCGACCCCTTTGGGGGTTGAACGACCCTTTCACAGGGGTCTCCTAAGACCATCAGAGAACACATATATAATTACATATTGTTTTTGTGATTAATCACTATGCTTTAATTATGTTCAATTTGTAACAATGAAAATATATCCTGCATATCAGATATTTACATTATGATTCATAACAGTAGCAAAATTACAGTTATGAAGTAGCAACGAAAATAATTTTATGGTTGGGGGTCACCACAACATGAGGAACTGTATTAAAGGGTCACAGCATTAGGAAGGTTGAGAACCACTGGCTTAGAGAGTCTTTTGATGGAAGACTATGACCATGTGCCAAAAATTCTCAATGAATTTTGCGAGTGATTGGGAAGTTGGTAGTTTGCTTCTATCATGAGTAGGTAGAGATCTGTAGCTGGGTGTGTTGAGGTTTTGCAGAATAGTGCAGGGATGATAGCTTGGAAGTTGCATAAGTAAATCATCACCTCTTGACCCTGAAATATGTGGATGTAAATGAGCATTTTCTGATTGACAGAGTTTCAAAGGAACTTAGTATACTAAAGGAGCCAATTGCAACTACGGCAAGGATTTGGAAAGGATGATTCAGTAAAAAAGATTGAGGATGTAAAATATTACCTTATCTTGAAGAGGATTTTCAATAGCACAATGGAAAATTTTTGAAGCATGGGAAATAGGAGGAAAATTTAGTTAAGCTAGGGTAACAGAATCTGGTGAAGAGATGAATGTAAGACAGATTAGATGACCAAAGGATTCGAAGTTTTGGATCATGACCCAAAATAACAGGAATGTAAAGTGAAATGGAGTTAGTCTGCTGCAATATTTTAAAGATAATCAAATGAATAATTAAATTCATTGTAATTAAAATTAAGCATTCAGTTCTTTAGTTGCACTAGCCACATTTCAAGTGCTCGTTAGTTACATGTGGATAGTGGCTCCTATGCTGGACAGTGCAGAGAACATTCTATCCTAGAAAGTCCTATTGGATAACACTGGTCTAAATAGTCTGTGATATAATACTAAGGGCAGGTTCAGTCAGAAAAAGACAAGTATCACATTTTCTCACTTATATGTGGAATCTGATGAACAAAATAAACTGATGAACAAAATAAATCCAGAGGCATTAAAGCATGAAACAAAATGACGAATTTCAGAGGGAAGGGGGTGGGGGGGATGGATAGAGATTAACCAAAGAATTTATATGCATATACGCATAACCCATGGACAGACAATAGTTTGATGAAGGGCTGGGGAGGGGGCAGGAGCAGGGTGGAGGGGGGTCAATGGGGAAAAAAGGTGACATTTGTAACACTTTCAACAATAAAATAAAAAATTTTTTTTAATATATTTTATTCGTTTTTTACAGAGAGGAGGGGAGAGGGATAGAGGGTTAGAAACATCGATGAGAGAGGAACATCGATCAGCTGCCTCCTGCACACCTCCTACTGGGGATGTGCCTGCAACCAAGGTACATGCCCTTGATCAGAATCGAACCTGGGACCTTTCAGTCCGCAGGCTGACGCTCTATCCACTGAGCCAAGCCGGTTAGGGCAATAAAATAAAATTAAAAAAAAAAAAAGAGTAAGGGCAGGTTAACACCAGGGTTCAGTGACTGGGATGAAGGTTCTGGTGGTTTGTAGCCTGGTTTCAGAGCTCTGCTATTCAGGGGAAATCTAGATAGTTCATCTGTTTTCTGTGCCTTGGCAGTTTAGTTTGGCTCAGAAGCTATAACAGAGCCTGAGTAATTCACCGTCTGTTCTTCATAGGTCTGGGTGGCTCAGGAAGAGCTTAGAGGGTTGTCAACCTATGAACTAAATCTTAAATAAGCTAAATTTTAAAATGTATTTCTTAAAGTGATATGACTTTAAATATTATAATATACATTTAAAGTCAAGATAATTGTTTGTTGTTGATTTATTTTAATCTCTAAATATGGGATTAATTTATACTTTTGGTTTATTTAAGATGGCACAACAGTCTACAGGTGGACGTGACACTCGGTTTTTACGTGATGAAATTCACCAGCTTGAAAAGCAATTGGAACAAAAAGATAGAGAATTGGAGGACATGGAAAAGGAGTTGGAGAAAGAGAAGAAAGTTAATGAACAAGTAAGGCACAGTTTTTCAGTGAATCTTAACTGTTTAAGTTATCTAAAAAACACCTGTTTATGCTTTTTATAGTTATTGATAACTATCAGTTTTTATGGTTGTATTTTTATGTGAAAATTGATGTAAACTTATCTCTAAGGTTTTATATTATAACTAGAGGCCTAATGCACGAAAATTCGTGCAAGAGCAGGCCTTCCTTCCTCCAGCTTCCGGTACCAGCTTCCCTCCTGCACCTGGGACCCAGTTTTCTCTCCTCCAGCCGCTGGCAGGCACCCGGGACCTGGGCTGGCTTCCCCCAGGCCGCCCGCAGGCACCTGGGACCCTGGC